AACTACAGGCTAGTCCTAAGTGATCACGGTGGTGGGACATTAGTATCGTCAACAGATTCTCTTTCTGCTTATAAATTGAAATTACCGCTGACAATGAAAGGAGTCACCCTGTTTTTCACGTATCAGTCTTGAGGAAATTCGAACCAGATGGCATCAAATCAAGAAGAGTCACCCCACCACCGCCAATTCAAATTCAAGGAGAGAAAGAATGGGAGATAGATTCAATTTTGGACTGTAGAAAGAGGTATAACAAATTAGAGTATTTAATTAGCTGGAAGGGGTATGGAAAAGAAGATGACTCGTGGGAACCGGAGGCAAATTTGAAAAACGCTCAAGAATTGATAAGGTTATTTCATCAAAGGTTTCCATCAGCAGCTAATAACTACAAGAGGTCACGGAGAAAGTGAGAGTGGGTCAAGCTTTTTCCCACTGGGTTTTTTAACGCTGACCCGGGGGAAGAAGGCAGGACAGCAAGAGGAGTCTGGGCCTTAAAGGGGGAATACTGTAATGAGCGTACGCGTGATCCTTATACCGCGTTATGCTACTACTGAGTAGAGCAGACCTTTTCATCTCTGTTGTCGTAGTATGCTTAGACCTCACACTGCAATCTAGTTACTACGCTATTAGCACCTTCTCGCTCTCTCCTCAGTCCCTGTTGCGCCGTTGGGTCATAACACTTTTGCCACTTTATATTCTTTTTCTTTACCAATTTCTACTCTTCTATTCGAGCGGGTTTGCTATTGCTTGCTCTCTTGGTCACTAAGACTAATTGTCTTACTAGTTACTAGCTAGTACTTTTCTCTCAGCCTTATAACCTTTGTTTGATTAGTCTGGCGTCCATCTTCAATATTTTTCAGGTTTGGAATGAAAAAGGGTTTTGATTGAAGATTGTTGCCGTGATTGTTGAAGGGTAGTTGTGGTAATGACGGAATGGATTCTGTCAAGTAAGGTCAAGCAAGTATCAACAAGAATTGGAGCGTGTAGAGTTTGATTATTGTGAGAGAATCTCAAACGGGCAAAATCCTGAACATTAGACAGGGATGATATAAGGAGATTTGAACCTCTAGAAATCCACCTTTCTGTCTCCTTCCTATGCAATGAGAGGCACCCGGACTAAGGTGTTGAGGAATACATTTTCCATAGATTAATGGATGATTTTGTGCCTCACTGGAGCTATGCGAGGCACGACAAGAAGGAAACAAGCAATTTGCTGGGGTTGGTTATATATGGCGTGGTATATATGGCGTCTCAATTGGATAAATAACCCAATTTTGAGACGTGAATGTGATTGGAAAACCGAGTCATTTTAGTAATAAAAAAGCCAAGGAATTCTGCGCCTGGTCTCTAATGAGCGCAAAGGATCCAGACACGCACAGTATACACGGGAGCTTTGCGCAACGAGGTCATCACCAAAAGTATGTGGGATAAAAATCGTATGCCTAGACTGCTTGATGAACATTTTATCTGTTGTGCACTTCGAGTATCTCATGTGACCCGAGAGGGTGATGCCATAGGATGCCATAGCAAGCAGTTGTCTCGTCGGGTATTCTAGACCGCCTTCAACAAGGACGAACGGCGATCGTGAAGGTCACATATTCGTTTTGAAAATTTGCCTTCTTGTGGGATCAGCGTAGAACTCATGGAAGTTTCAGGGACTCATGCCAGGCAAATCGGGTATAACCAAAAGAAACAATCCGAGGTCAAATCTGGTTATATGTCCTTGCTTGGAATCTGGCACCATTGGTAGAAGGTGGCCCATCTTTTGCCAAGTACGATGGCAGGGTGGTAAAATGGTCAAGTAAAAACTGGCTCGTTCGTGTTTGTTTCTGTTTTGTATATCTCTTGTGATGCTCGTATAAAAACACCCCATCTCAATTCAAATGACTGAGTCTGTGCGCCTTTGGCAGTCTTACATAGACGCTAGATGATATTTTGGATGAGAATTCTTGGCGAGTTTTAGTCTAGGTGCTGAGCACATGACATCGTGCCAGCCGCTCTGCTGCCGCATCTCACTTCAAATGACCGTGTTTCTAAGTGTTGACGATGACCATGAGAGCGGGAATCAGATAGCTTTCATGAATTTAGCCGGTCCTGGTTCAGGTAATCGCTTCACCGCCACCTGTTCTGGCTAGGTTGAACTTCTTAGAAGGCCTTTCATAGGTTTGGCCTATGACGATATGATTGCTTCCCTGGAGCCTGAGGCTATGTAAAACCGTCTGACAAGCCGGATGCACCAGCACAAGGATGGTCAATTACCCTTCGATATCCCTCGAGTAAATTGGCACTCCAGCATCGTAAACCGTTACACAAAAACTGAACCAGATGAAGCAAACAGCCAGACTTTTGAAGTCAGAACTTCATCATGAACGCACTTCGTTCACTTTTCGTTTCCATCCAGTCAGGTCCAATGTAATATAATCAACCTTTGAGAGACCAACCGCACATCTCAAAGAGCAATCCACTTTCACTGAAGCTATAAAACTTATCTATCCGTCACAATGGTCGCACTCTTCCTTTCCTCAGCCGAAAGACTCAGAGGTTTTGTGGATTAAGACATCAATTACTTCGACTCAATTATCCAACTGATCAACATATTTTCTCATTTGCAGTTTTTACTAGTTTATTCATACGACATCACCCAACGACTTACCAACATATCCTTGTAAAGCTTCCAAAGCTATCGACACTTATCGTTAAAAACATTCTCTTATAGATCAACACCAGCCTTCAAGATGATTCAAATATCAGCCTTAAAAGTGGCCATCACGATGATGGTGATGATCACTTTACCTACCACTTTTGCTTCTCATGAAATCCCTCGTCCACATCATATCAAAATCCAAAAGAAAAATCATTCACACAAATCACAAAAAACACGTTTTACAGGTCTTAATAGACAAGTGAAACCTGCAGGCTACGTACCTGGTCATTATAAACTAGTTTCTGAGTCATCTGGCCATTCATTCTTCGATAACTGGGACTTCTTTTCAGATGGTACGTTATCATTCTAAATTTCCTCTCAGTGTCTCTGACTCTAAATAACACAAAACTTATTTTAAACGTTCATTTTTGCTTTGTTCTAGCTGATCCGACTCATGGAATGGTGTCATATCAACCAGTCGATGAAGCTTGGAAATCCGGGTTGGTTTCTACTTCACCAAATTCAGCTAAAATACAAGTAGACAATTCTTCTTGGTTAGGTGATGGTGAACCAAGAAAGAGTGTAAGGATTACAAGCAAATCTACTTTTAAATACGGTTTACTTGTTTTAGACGCAATCAAAATGCCATTTGGATGTTCTACTTGGCCAGCTTGTAAGTTAAATCCTTGCATATGCGTCATTGTTTTACTTTTTCTGACCTATTTGGATTTTCGTTCTATAGTCTGGACCGTGGGTGATAATTGGCCAATGGGAGGAGAGATCGACATCGTTGAAGGGGTCAACATGCTGACCAAAAATCAAATGACACGTTGAGTTTATTTTCCTATCTTTAACATTCCCGGAAGGTCCTAATTCTGTTTTGTTTTGAATTTTTATCAGTCCACACTGCTTCAGGTTGCTCAGTTCAAACTCCAATGTCCAATTCAGCAATGGGCACTGTTTTAGATAAAAATTGTGACGCTGCATTAGATGGAAACTCGGGCTGTGGAGTCTCAGATCCATCAGAAATTTCATTCGGCAAACCATTCAATGACAACGGTGGTGGAGTTTTTGTGATGGAATGGAAACAATCTGGTATCACGATTTGGAGATTTGCAAGAGACCAGCTTCCAACTGATTTAACTCCAGGTCATCAACCTAACCCTGATTCATGGTCCAGTCATCCTCCATTAGCTCATTGGTCAAATGATGAGTGTAACAACTTGAGTAATCAATTCGGTGAACATAGAATAGTCTTTGATATTGTAAGTCCTGTCTTCCCTACATCTTTGTACGATGAAGAGCAAGTCGAATTGATTTGTTGATCTATCCAACTCTCAGACATTATGCGGTGATTGGGCAGGATCACAGGGTGCATACACTAGCGGCGGTCAATGTGGCGGTTCTTGCTCGGAAGCAGTCAAAGACCCCGCAAATTTCAAAGACGCAGCTTGGGTTAGTACCGTCCTTCAATCAATTCTCAAACAAAACTACTTGCTGACATTCTTCATTATACACAGGAGGTTGCCTCAGTACGTCTTTATCAATGAGCATCAATCACTTGATTCCACATGATATTGTACATCGCCACAGCGCTCAAATCTTTCCACGAGTGGACATTATACCTCTTTTCCTTTTCATGGACTCATTCACTTTCTTACATCACTCTACCTTTGTCCGAGATATGCCGTAAATTATTTGTATTCAATCATCACATACACTTACTCTATATTATGCAAGTTATGCCTTCAAATAGTTAAAACCCAAGCAATGTTCACACATTGCCAATGGTCCCATCTTCAACTGAAAAGTCAAGAGTCGCTTAATCATTCCCATTTGAAATCAGTACCATGTTTTCCGCCAGATTTTCGGTCCTCAGAACCGCCGACAAAATCGCGTGATTGACCATTCCTTGAAAGTTTTCCAGCTCACAGTCTTAATGATTTCTATCACTTCAAATTAACACTGCCCATAGTCCCATGAGTTCAATATTTCCTTGAACTTGTGCCAAGGTTGCATAATCCCAGAGCTCCCACAAAAACACTGCTCTGTTCACTCCATTGTACCTGTAATCTCTAAACTATTAAAATATACTGTGTCCAGCAGAAAAATACGCAAAGGAACGAATTCAATAAATGGAACCATACCGCTTGGGGGCCGTCACGTGAGCAGCTGAGTGGGAGTTTTTGGTGTCCTTTTGATGCCCGCAGGATCATACATAACTCACTACTTCTTTCTGGATACATGGACAGAGGCATGAGTCAGAAGCCTCAATCAATCCTTTTAGATTGTGTGCACAAAGATGGTTCATTCATTTGAGTAGGAAAATCCTGGTACATTCCCAAGCACTCATTTTCAGGATAAAAGCTCCGGATGGAGTGATACGGGGTCGTACAATATCTGAGTAGCCAGAAAGATGATTCATCAAGACACTTAACATGATCAACTTGCATGATTTAACCCCCAAATTGAAGGAAATAAAGAAAATGGTGCAAGTCTAGATGTTAAAACCATTGGGTCAAATATAAATATGTATCTATGGAGATAAGTTCATGTCTAAAGGTGAAAAGTGTTCAAGGAGAACATATTGTCAAAATGAGTAAATAAATGAAGCAAGCAACATTATTTCCCTTCTACATAAAACATCTCTCTTGACATAAGGTCATTATGACATAGAGCAATTGCTGGATTGTGAATCTTGCAGGTGAGGTAATCACATGGAGATATTGCTACTTTGAGTTGTTTGGTGACAAGATGACAAGAAAAAGAAATTTCATATACAAGAAAGGTAAGAAAAAAGAGAAGGATGAGTGGATTGTAATATATAGTGATGAGTTCATCAGGATGTTGGGCATGTACTTGACCCTTATTGGTAAT